ATTTACAGAGGCTGGCTCACCTTTCCTTCCCTCTGGGATGGCCACTACTGGAGGTGGGGGAAGGGAGAGGGACCCTGGAAGGGACAAGGAGGGGAGCGTGGGGAGGCAGATGGTACTCCAGTGGGATGACTGTGCTGTAGAGGAAGGACAGCAACAAAGACACATGGATGTCTCAGATGACCTGTGGGATTCATCCTCTTCTCAGCATTATGGATCTGAATAGGAGAAGAACAAAAGAGACATAGTGAGAATTAGACAAGAAAGATTTTGCAAGTTTAGAACAGCAAAATAAGACCACTCCTAATTACGACATGCCGGTTTCACTCAACAGGGTGTCTGGCAGTAAATAATATGCTGCTCTTTTTAGACTGAATACATGAGCTAAGGTTAAGGCATACCTCATTAAAGTGGTCACACCCATGTTACTACACCTGGATTACAGTGGCTTTAGGCTGGACTGTCAGCATGACAGCTTTGTCACAACACAGTCGAATCTGCGCAGATACCAATATATGTTCCAGAAACACAGAAATGGCAGCAGACAGTCACAAGAATATGATAATGAAGTATTTTCAGAGCTCCTCACCAGCAGCAACAACAGGCGGACAGAGGAGATGAGTCAGCTGCAGCAACGTGGCAAACACACCAAACCGTTTGCCAAGAGAATTCTTCCTCCCTCTGCTGGTCTTTTTTTTAAAAAACATTTGACCAAATACGCATGGTAGAGGTCTGAAAAGTCAACCTTTAAAAGAGGATTTTAACCTCTCACTTTCCATCTTTTCCTTACTACATCTCCATAACTCTAGAATTAATGGGAGGATCTACAATCCAGCCTTCCCATGACCGAGCCTGTCATTATCTGTATTATTAAGCTCTAATTACAGCTTTAATCACATGCATGAGTCCTGCTTCCAGAATGTTCAGCAGAGTAGTACTATTGTTGAGCTGAAAGCACATGATCATTTTTAGCACCTGAAAATTCATCTCACTAAAGAGAGACTATAAGGAAGGAGCTAGATAAAGTCAGATGTGAGAGGGACAATATCACACAGCATGTTTTTTGCATAACATGTTGAAAGACAAAGCTATGTTGTGCTAGTTACAGGAAATATTACAATGACATTATCAACCGGGTTGGCAAGATTGTGTGCATGAGCCACAGGGTGATCTGCATCCATTCACACAATATCATCATATTTGTGTGTCAAGATGAACATAATACCAAGGTGAACCACAATAACCATCACCTTGTTTTTTTTTCTACACACTATGCTATGCTGTTAAACAAGTCAGCCACACATAGAAGGGTCATTTTTCCAGTGACATTACTTTGCCATTCTCTATTACATCTTAGGTTTGCATTTCTACACTGTAAACAGTTTTCCTGTAAAATAACAGTAAAGAGCTGGCAGCAGGGACGCCAGCAGTATACCGTTATTTTTACGGTATTCGTACGTAAAATGACTTTACGGTAGTAGTCTGTAAACCAGAAAAACGGTATATGTTTGTATTTCTATAATTTACGGTAAAGAGCTGGCAGCAGGGACGCCAGCATTATACTGTTATTTCTCAGGGCTATAGACAATTGC